ATTCTTAAGGGTTTTTAAAGATTTATTTGTTTACTTAATTTGTATGAATGCTTTGCATGCCTAGTGCATTGGATCAAAAGAGGGCATTGGATCCCCTGCAACTGGAGTTATGGATTGTTGTAAGCCACTGTGTGTGTGCTGGGATCAAACCCGGGTCCTCTGCAAGAACAGCCAGCACTCTTAACCACTGAGCCATCTCTCCAGCCCCTCTGTGTTATGGAATAAGAGCTGACTGACCAATAGCTAGACAGGAAGAGGTTAGGTGAGAGAACCAAACTAAGAGGATTCTGAGAAGGGCGGAGTCACAGGAGTGGCCAGGAGACTCAGAGAGAAGTATGACAGATATGAAAGAAAAGGTACCACCACGAGGTAGAGCGTAGATAAGAAGTATGTGCTAATTTAAGACATAAGAGGCAGTCAGTAATAAGCCTAAGCTATCGGCAGAGCATTTATAATTAATAAGTCTCTGTGTGGTTATTTGGGAACCAGCTGAGGGAACAGAGCTGACCAGCAGTCCCAAAGAGAAACTCTGCCTACAAATGGCACCTCCACTCCTACACCTCTGCTGAGAATTTTTTTAACTGAATTTTATTTATGGTATTATCGTGTGTGTGTGTGTGTGTGTGTGTGTGTGTGTGTGTGTGTGTGTGTAGCACTGAGTGGAAGCCCCAGCCGTGCCCCTCCCAGCCCCTACCCAGAAACATTTTTCAAGTGTTTCCATCAGACACATATGTCTGCTATTCCATGCGGTTACAGTAAGGTTCTGCGTGTCTTCTCTACCCAGTTCAACCCACATGCTATCTGCTTGTCCCGTGGCTCGCATGTTCTTCACTATTTGGTTCAGGTGGAGTTGGCCATGTTCTCCCTCTTACGTCACTGTTTCCATCTGCAGTGTTTACAAGCACCTGGCGCTGGTCTAAATGGAGACTGTGGGCGTATCCTGTCCTCTGCTGTGGGCGTGTCCTGTCCTCTGCTGTGGGCGTGTCCTGTCCTCTGCTGTGGGCGTATCCTGTCCTCTGCTGTGGGCGTATCCTGTCCTCTGCTGTGGGCGTATCCTGTCCTCTGCTGTGGGCGTATCCTGTCCTCTGCTGTGGGCGTGTCCTGTCCTCTGCTGTGGGCGTGTCCTGTCCTCTGCTGTGGGCGTGTCCTGTCCTCTGCTGTGGGCGTGTCCTGTCCTCTGCTGTCGGCGTATCCTGTCCTCTGCTGTGGGCGTATCCTGTCCTCTGCTGTGGGCTACCCTGTGCCTCTGCTGTGGGCGTCTGTTAGCGGCTTCTGATAGAATCAGTGATTGCGCTGATGAGGGTTATTCTGTCGTGTTTTGACTGTACTGTATTTCTTTCAGATATCCTTCTTTGTTCACTTAGTGTCCGTTTGTTTGTTGATTGTGTTGTTTCATTGTTGTTGTTTTGAGTCAGGGTCTTTCTGTGTAGCCCTGGCTGTCCTTGAACTCACACTACCAACCACGCTGGCCTTGAACTCACAGAGATCCTCCTGCCTCTGACTCCCAAATGCTGGGATTACCGCCAGTTTATTTTCGTTGTTGTTGTTGATCCTCCTGCCTCCACCTCACTGGTTCGTACCACTCCTAGTGCCTTGCTCTCCGTGGCTGGCAGAGACCATGGAGGAGTTTCACTCTCCGTGGCTTGCTCAGCTCTCTTTCTTATACAGCTCATGTCTACCTACTTAGGGGTGATCCTGCCCACAGTGGGCTGGCTCTTCCTATGTCAATCAGCAATCAAGAAATTATCTCATAGACATTCTTACAGACCAATCCAACGGAGGCCACACCTCAACTGAAATAGCATCTTCTCAGATCTACCTAGGTTAACACAAACTACGACAACCAACTTATTTATTTATTTATATCAGTGTTGACTCGTATTTCCCAATATGGACTCTTATTTCTTTCAATACAAGCCCATGTTTTTTCCATGTGGTTTTGTGTGTTTGTTGTTTATTTGGTGGACTACAGTCCTTTACTCTGGGTATTTAATTTGATCTTCCACTCGTCCTGTATTTGCTCACAGGGAGCCTGTCCAGGACACTTCCCTTTGTCCTTCAGCACCCACTGCTCCCCATCTTTCTTTGCGTGTTCTCTAATCTTCTCCCTGTGTGTGTGTGTGTGTGTGTGTGTGTGTGTGCGTGCGCGCGCGCGCGCACCTTCTCTCTTACCCGCCCCCCTCAGGCACTGTCCACCTTTGTTATTTAAGACATTCTTGGTAACCATGAGGCCAACGGGTCTCCAGATGAGTCAAAAGCCCACGGGGACAGTGTCACTCAGCAAGAACCAGTGGACTTTGGGACAGCACAGACTACTCCAGGGGCCGCACGGCCTGCATGCTCTCCTCTCTCTCGTAATAGTGATGATTCTCTTGGCGATTTTACTGTCGTTTTGTCAATCATGCATAGGACAGATGTCATCATTTCTGGAAGCCCCCTTTTTTCTCAACTATCTTCCCCTAAAATTCTTTGGGAGCTGATGCTTCTCAGGTTTCTTGTCTGGGGATGTGAGCTGTCTCTGCAGACCCTGGGAGCTGTCCTGACCCAGTGCTGGCACGATCGTGGGCAGATCACCTCTATTTCTGTAAATACGTTTGGAACATAATCTTGGATATGTATTCCTATGCCAAGCACCCTTTAGACAGGATGGACCTGGCTTGATATTTATTTGGCCAAGTTAGCACAATGATAAGTATTGTTTTTGGTTTAAAGATGTTTGGATGTAAACGTTAGGAAAAACATATTTGACATATTTGATTTTGCCAGGGGTTACTGTTGGAGGATGGTTACTGTTGTTTATTAGTATGGAAAAACATGCCTGTGTTTTGATGTATAAATAAAGATGATTGGAGCTATTCGAGGCCAAGCATTTGTGTGAAACTCATCTGGTGGTCAGACAGTTCTTCACCCTGATGCCCCTACTCTGTCTCAGGACCTGAACCCAGGCTGTGCCCAGACCTCAACAAGATTTATTTATTTTTATGTGCATGAGTGTTTGACCTGCATGTATCTGTGCAGCAATGTGTGCAGTGCCAATGAAGGCCAGAAGAGGGCATCAGATCCCCAAGAGCTGGTGTTATTGAAGTCTGTGAGCAGCCATATGGGCATTGAGAACCCAACTGGGTCCTCTGCAGGAGCAGCAACAAGGGTTGTTTGCTTCTGAGTCAACTCTCCAGACCCCACCTTGCTTTTTGAGACAGGATTAGTCATTAGCCTGGACTCTCAGATGGCTGGCTCCTCATCCCAGGAATTCCGCCATTCCATCTCTACTCCTTAGAGCTAGGATGACAATCATGGGCCAGCAGGCCCAGCTTTTTCTCACGGGTTCTGAGACCAAATCCTCATGCACGCACACCCAACCTCCCTGACTGGGCGATCTCTGCAAACCCCTACTACCTTACTTTCTAGATCAACTCTTTTTGAAACAAAGACACTAAAGAGGGGTGCAGACCTGTAATCCCAGCATTTTGGAGACCCAGTCCAAGGCTAGTGGAAGATATATGGTAAATCTTTGCCTCAAGTGTTCAAGGCTAGCCTGGCCTGTGAAGTAAGTTCAGGCCAGCCAGGGCTACATAGCACACCCTATTTCAACAAAATAAAATATGTTGAACAAATGAATATGTGGATATCTATAAAATCTCTTGGGTCTTACCTTCTCTCCTGGCCACGTTTAACTTCCTTATAATGCATACTTTTAAATTTTGTTTGTGGGAAGGGGAACACACGTGACATGGCACCCAAGTGGGGGCCAGAGGACAAGCAGTTCTTTTTTTCTACCATGTGGGCTCCAGGAATTGAACGGAAGTCCTCAGGTATGGTAGCAGGCGCCTGTTACACAAGGATCCATCTCAATAGTTTTTTTTTTTCTGCTTGATTTTTAAGACAGAATTTTATGTAGACCATGCTGGCCCTGATCCTTCCCAGTGCTGACACTAAAGGCATGTGCCGCCATATTCCAGCTTTCCAACATTAAGCTCTGTTGAATATATAATGATTTTTTTTTTGAGACAAGGTGTCGCCGTGTAACCTTGGCTCTCCTGAAACTCATTGTATAAGAATAGGCTGTCTGATGTGGGATTCCCCCTCTGTATGCTCTGATTACCACCAATTAATAAAGAAAGTACTTTGGGCCTATAGCAGGGCAGAACAGAGCTAGGTGGGGAAAACTAAACTGAATGCTGGGAGAAAGAAGGCGGAGTCACAGAGAAGCCATGCAGCCACCACTGGGGACAGACACGCCGGAACCTTGCTGGTAAATCACAAGCCTCGTGGTGAAATATAAAATAATAGAAATGGGTAAATTCAAGATGCAAGAGCTAGCCAATAAGAATCTAGAGCTAATAGGCCAAACAGTGATTTAATTAATACAGTTTCTGTATGATTATTTCTGGAATCTGGTGGGGGGGGGCAGGAAACGAACAAGCAGCCTGTCCCAACAGGCTGTCCTTGGTTCCATTTTGAGAAAAACGGCAACAAAAACCTTGTTCTGAAAGATGAACAAGGTGGAAGGGACTCAGCGCACTGTACAAAGTAACTAAATCTTTATTGGTGCCTTCCTGAGCCAGCCAGAACACGTAGAAAGGCAAGAGGCAGGCCCCTGCCCTGGAGTAGTTCACAGTCTCCTAAGGAAGACAGGAAAGAGCCTCAAAGATGCCAGGCAAGCCCAACATTCAGGGAATGAATCCACTGTCCACCTGCCTGGCAATGAAAACTGGGAGAGGAAGCTAGCCAGGGACTCTCCACGACTCGCTCAGCCAGTAGATTTCTCTGTCCTTTTTCCTGGTCACCATCAGGGGAAACTCAGTCGCTGCATCAAAAAGCTGGGCCACTTCAGCAGTGCATTGATAACTGCAGGCTGCTTCTGGGAGCTGCAAACCAGTGCAGTGAAACTGGAGATGCCGGAGGAAGGGGGGTTGAGCCAGTCCAGTCCAGTGAGAAACGGAGAGTTGGTACCCAGGGCCAGGGAAGCAAGGTGAAGTGGACATTTCAAGACGAGATGCTCATAGCAGCGCACCGGCAACCACAATCAAGAGAAGAGCTGGCAACCCAGACCCCAGAAACACAGGGCCTTCATTAGCCCCACCTTTTGGGGCGTTCTTCTCCATATTGCTGCGGTCTTGGTGGCCCACAGCACCTCCAGTCAAATGGGACTCTTCTTCTCGTGTAGTATCGTGTTCTACTTCATGGGGTGGAGTGTGGCTGGCTGTGGCTGAGGTGGGCTTGGTAGTAGAGGTGGTCGTGGTTGGGGCGCCTGTGGAGGTAGTGCTGGAGAAGGTCTGGACCGAAGTGGACGGGGCTAGAGTGGTTGGAGGGGGCAGTAGGACTAGGGGTGGGATTCGAGGGGAGAAATAAGTCTTGTTGCGGAGGTCAGAGTTACAGCGGGGCCCCTGGCAGCAGGAGCCACTCAGTGTGAATCCTGGACCCGTCACCCCATCCCGGGTGCACGACTCATCCTGGACGCAGCCTCGGACAGGTAAGGACACAGTCACATTGGCTGTAAAAGAGAGACACAGAAAGGTCTGTCATTGGACAGATAAGGGTTGGTACGGCTTGAGTAAACCTTAGGGGCTTCTGGAACAAGGCAAGAGCAGCGAACCCCAAAATGAGACTTGCACTCATTAGTTCAAACATCCTAACCCTGGTGCACTTTCTGCAGAGCACTGCGCTCCTGTCGTCTGCTCACGACCATGTTTCCACTAAACGCTTTGAGAGGAAAAGGGTGAACCCCAAGCTCCAGATTTGTCTTGGAACAAAGATTTCAGCCAAGACTCTTCTGTTCTGTGATCAAAATTGAAACATAACCTCACCTTTTCCTCTCTCAGCTCCCTGCTAAATTTTAGTCTTACAGTCTGAAATACAGCTCCTGAGAAACACCTGGCACCCTAAGGAATTGCACAACTTCTCCTCCCATAGTGTGAGTACCAGCCCCTCACTGAGGGACTCTAGGCACACCCCCAGCACTGAACTACACCCCTTAATGTTGTGGAACAAGTGGGACCCCTAAGTTTTCAGGGCTCAAACCACATTTCCCAAGGCACACAGGCAAAAGCTTATAAGCTTAAACACAAGTCTCATTTCATGGTCTCCCATTCCGTATCTGGTATTCTTCTATAGGAACGTATACACGCGCGCGTACACACACACATACACACACATACAATCATGGGATCTGTAGGGTAGTGGACTACATTTCCCATGATGCTGTAGAACAAGGTAAGCACCAAAGTCAAGAGCAGCAGTTCCCAGAGTTTGTTGAGGTGGAGGGTTGGACCCTTTAGGTGAAATGTCCCCCACTGCAGATGGCTATCACAACTCCTACAAGTCTCAAGCTCCTTCAGAGACCAGGCTCACCTGCCGTCAAGGTGACGTTGCCATCGAAGCAGCCCTTGTAAACGCGGCCGCTGGCGTTGTAGCAGCTCACAACTGGAGGCATGGTGCCCTGGCACTCCTCGCGACTCTTCCCCAGGCAACTGTAGCATTCTGCGCCATTGGGCTCATAGGCACTCTCGTTGCCTGCGGCGGTTAGGGGTTAGGGTCCAGCGGGGAGGGAGTGGGAACAGAAAAGGAAGAGTCAAGAGGCTGTGATGGCTCAGGCCTGTGCTCCCATCTACTCAGGAAGCTAGGGCAGGAAGATAGCAAGTTCTTAGTCAGTTTGGCCAGAAGAGAACCGCAGCTCAACTGGCCTGCTCCCCAGGCATGGCCTGATGTACCTGTGACTCCGCCCCCTTTCTCCTATCCTCAGCCCGGGTATCCACCTAGGGTGCATACATTGTTGATGTCTGCAGTCTTCAACCCACCACCCCCGCAACCCTGCCTCAGCTTGCAGTAGCCTCAGCTCCCAGCCTTTGTATGACTCTGCCTGCCACCGACCTGCAGGGTTGAGGCCTCGCGAGGTGAGGTTGAGTTTGTCGTTGCATCGGTCCTCGGTGCACTGCTGTAGCTGGATGAAGGCCAGGAGTCCGTGAAGGTCCAATCCACGGTCATTCTTGCCCTGGAGTCCGGAACCACAGCCCCGCACCGCCACAGAGAATTGCCCGTGGACTACATAGAAAAAAAGGGGCGGGGTCAGAGCACACCGGCCTCTGAGGGCAGGGCTTTGAATGAACAATAGTCCTGGGTCTGCGGGATGGGGGGGGGGGGGGGTTAGGCAGGGGGGGGGGGGGAAGGGACCTTAAAGAGAGCAGGTCCCTGGGGACAGAGTTACAGGTGGAGTGTGCGTGTGGGGGCAGGTGTGTCAAGAAGAGCTTCGAAGAATACAATCCAAAGAAAACAAGCTCATTGACAAACAGGACAGCCTCGAGGGGGAGAGGCTAAAACTGGAGTTTCCATGGGTACATCAAAAGGAGGAGAAGCCTCCAAAAGTAGCTTCAGAGGGATCCAATTAAGAGACTGGAAGAAAAAAGAAAAAAAAAAAGTCTAGGAGACAAAATGATGGTGCGAGCCTGTAGTCCCAGCTACTGGGAAGGTTAAGGAATCCCCGTCCAGCTTGTAGTACATAACGAGACCCTGTCACGAGCAAACAAAACGGAACCTGGTGGTACAAGCCTGTAATCCCAGTGACTCGGGAGGCTGAGGAAGGAGATTCACCTGCCTAAACTTTATTACAGTGTTCAAGGGCCAAACTGAGCTACTTAGGCTCAGTGTAGAGTGCTTATCTAGTATATGTGCTGGGACCCAGTGGATGACCTGGGGGAAGGTGGGATTACTGAGGAATCTGGAAACAAGGGTGGAGTTTGACTCGGAACCTCGATAATCTTTGTGTTGGTTGGTGGGTAAGCCTTTCTGTAGGGAGTGAGCGGAAAGTGGTAAAGATGTCTCCGTGAAGGTGGTTGGGATGAGCCTAGGGCTCTCCAGTCAGTCCTGAACAGTTTGCAACTATTACTCCCCCCCACACACACACACACCACCGGCAAGCCCCAACCCCATCCCAGCCCCCTGCCTGTCGACAAACTTAAGCTCAAAGAAAGAAGGGCAAATCTGTGCTGCGAGGTCTGAGTGAGGGCTGAAATGAAAAGGCGTGGCCAAAATCGGGAAGGTCTGTAAGGAGGCGGAGTCTCACAGAAGGAGTCCGAAGGGATAAGTCAGAGACCACCGGTGGCACTTACTGGTCTCCACCGCCCCCACCGCCTCGGTACAGACGTCAGCTCCTGGACCACACTTGACGGTCTTCATCTTGTGCGGAGAGCATCCGTCATCCGCCTTCTGCACGCAGCTGTAGCACTCCAGGGCCTTCGCTCCTGAGGGTGTGGACCGGGTAGAACCGAGGGCTCTTTGTTAAAGATTTCTCTCCCACACAGAGAAAGTCTTCCCTGGTGGCCTCTGTCCTGGGGTGAGATGATCCTACCATGCAGCCAGAACAGCAGGAGGAGAAGTCTTCCCACAAGTCTCAGGGAGCGGGACACCAGGGACCCTCTTCCTTCCCACTTCCTGGATCTGCACTGGGAACTTTCCTCTCCCACCTGCTTATTCCCAAGGGAGGAGACCCCTGAGGTGGAGCCCCCGTCTCGGGATCAGGGGGGTCCCTCTCTCACAGTTGCCTGCTCCGTGTAGAACCTTCCGCACTGCCCCTCTGCCCAGGCAGGGTAGGAGAACTCACAGCCTGCCTTTGATTGGGATCAACTTTCCTTATAGGACTTTCTGGGAAGGGCTGGGAATTAGTCTTCCTTAGGAGCCCCCCACTTTACCCTCCCAGCGGCACACTTACCTTCACACAGCAGTACGGGCAGCAGCAGCAGCCATCCGGTGGTCCAGACCACTCTCTGCGCATCTCCTCTCCTGGCAGCATCCATGGCTGCGTCCTGCTCTCTCCGCGTCCCCCCTGGGTGTGCCGCCTTCCAACCCGGGCCCTCTTACCTGAGCCTCAGATGAGTAACCTACCCTGGGGCAACTCTGGCCTTGCCCAACCAGGCCAACTCAGCGTCCGCTGTGGGGCGGGCCCGCCTCTAGGTGCGTCACCCACAAGAGAGCGGCCCCTGCCCTGTGCCCTTGCCAGGGTCGGAAAGGGCGGGAGGGAGTAGAGGTTCCCCTACAGTCCCCTGGATAAAGCATGTGTGTGTTTGAAGGCAGAGGGAGTACCAGGGCTCAAAGAGAGATAGGGGCATTCAGGGTGTGCTCGGGTCCTGAGCGCCTTAGCCTGGGGACTGGGGACATCACAGAGCTCCTAGTCGTATGGCAAAGATAGAAATTAATTAAATAATTGGGGAAACTGTTATTTTCAAGTCATTTATTTGCCTATGCCTGTCATCACAGCCCTTAGGGAGCCGAGGCAGGAGGATTACCAGGAGTTTGAGGCATGATGAGTTTCAGGCCTGGTTGGACTACAGAGTGAGATCCTATCTCAAAAAGTCAAAACAAACATCTTGATTATTATTTACAAGAGATTAAGACTTTGGAGGAATAAAAAATAGAGAGCTACAAGCAGGGTTGGATTTAGAAGTATAACTTCCAATATGTTTATGCTGGGAAACAATATAAAGTATCTATCAAGAAATGACTAAGAGGGTATAGATAATCGAAATGCATTGCATACATAGATGAAAGTCTCAAAGAATGAATAAAAATGGAAAAAGAATTCTTGAGCACTTATCATGTGTTCTGGGCACTGCAATAAACCCTTTAAATTAAAAAGGGGGGGGGTGAGTGGAAAGCTAGGATAGTGGTCTAGGGATCAGCAGTACAGCACCTGCCTAGAATCCCCCAGTAAGGGACTAGGAGTGTGGATCAATGGTAGATCACCTGACTAGAATCCCCCAGTGAGGGCTGGAGTGTGGCTCAGTGGTAGAGCCCCTGCCTAGAATCCCCAGTGAGGGGCTGGGGTGTGGCTCAGTGGTAGAGCCCCTGCCTAGAATCCCCCAGTGAGAGCTGAGGGTGTGGCTCAGTGGTAGAGCCCCTGCCTAGAATCCCACCATGAGGGTCTGGGGTGTGGCTCAGTGGTAGAGCCCCTGCCTGGAGTCCCCCAGTGAGGGGATAAGGTAGAGTTTTGTGCTAGAGCACTCACCCTGTATGTATGAAGCCCTGGGTTGCATCCCCAATATCATCGCTCCCTCTCGAAAAAGATAAAACAAATGGAAAACCAAGGGTGGTTCCTTCATTCGATGAGAATATTGCCCAGCAATGGAAAGTTTCAACAGGAGGTACATGAAGCTACACAGATGGATCTTTAAAACAGTGGTACTAGAAGTCCTAAGCAAGACAACACAGGGCAACTTTGTGCATATGGAGTTCTGAGACAGACTAAACTAACCCACGGTGAGAGGAAAATGGACAGGGGTTCCCTCTGAGAGAGTCTTGTCCTGGAAGAGCCTCTTCCATCTTCATCCAGGGAGAGTGACCTTGGGCGTGGCTGGTGTGTACAGAACTGCTGAGTTGTATATTCAGGCCTTCACGGGATGTACATTATCCTTCAGTAGAAACACGAGGAAGCTGGGCCTGGTATCCCAGTCCTACAATCTTAGTATTTAGGAGTCTAAACAGAATGTGTTTGACCCAAGTCAGCTACACACATCTGCACCCCCAACATAGGAACTGAACAATAAATAGATAAATGTAATCAGAATCACAAGGCCCTACACAGGGAGAGCCTTTAGAGAGGTCAATCATAAGAATAAGAATAAGAATGAGCGAGTGAATGAGAGAGAGAGAGAGAGAGAGAGAGAGAGAGAGAGAGGAGAGCAGGTGTAATGGCTCATGCCCAGACTCAGGAAGCTGAGGCAATAGGATTGCACTGAGTGTGAAGCCAACCTGGGCTCCATAGTGCAGCCCTCCCCAGACTCACCAAAGGGTGCAGGAGACTAAATGAGCTGGGCAGTTTCCAGATGGAAAAAAAAAGAGAAAGTTTGGATGCTTGCCTGGCATGCATGAAGCCCTGACTTCTGTCCCAAGAGTGGCAAAAACCGAGTGCAATAGAGATGGTGGCAGGAGGTTCCGAAGTTAAAGTTCATCCTCAGTTCCATAGGGCATTTGAGACCAGCCTGGGGGATGTGAGACCATATTGGGGGTGTTGGGGGAAGGTGGAAGAGGAAGAGGAGGAAAAAAGACCCAGCCAGTAACTCCAGACAATTGTCAGGAGTTGTCTGGTTAATGCAGGGGCCAAAAGGTTGTACTGGACATAACTAATCTTACAGAACAATCATGTAGGACAAGCTCACCTGTGACTGTGAAAGACCCATGCAGAAGACCACCCCACAAATGCGCCCAAACACAGAAACAAACAAAATCATTACACAGACACGATGAATCTCAGTCACCCCACACCCTGGTGAACATGAGCAGTCACTCAGGTTGGTACATTCATGGAAATTACAATTTTAACCTAGCTTTGCTCTTCCTGCCTCCTAAAGCGGGTGTGTGAAGATCCTAATGATGCCTTTGCTCTGTGACAGGATTCAGGGCAGAACAACACGCCACACCCTGGAACTGCCCCCCAAACCACCACACAGGAGTCCACATCTTTTCAAAGATCTCTCTGGTCAGGAGTGGTGATCAATCCTGGGGTCCCAGAGAGTCAAGGTCTTCGTTGGCTAGATAGCATGTTCTAGGACAGCCTGAGCCACATGAGACGCTGAAAAAAAAAATCCAAAACATTTTTAAAGAAAGAATTAGCAGGGATTACTGATGAATCAAATGGGAGGGAAGCCTAAGGTGTGGTTCAGCTTCGTGTGGCTCAGCAGTACAGTGAGAAGCTGGGGCCTGGCTCAGTGGTAGAGCCCCTGCCTAGAATCCCCCAGTGAGGGGCTGGGGCCTGGCTCAGTGGGGCTCAGTGGTAGAGCCCCTGCTTTCATGAGTCCCTGGGTTCGATCTCCAGCATATAAAAGAAAAGGGGGCAGTGAGGGAGTAGGTTTCTGAGTCCATTTTCTGATCTTTACTGCTCTAAATTCAATTCTCTAACACTAGTACAGTCACAACAGCAGTAACAATACTACTATCCCAGAATTGAGCATTTGTTTAGTGCCAGAATCTATTCCAAACAGCAGCCTGTCTGCTCTTATCAGTCCTCTCCCATAAAGTAAGAAGAGCTCCTGTCCTAGGGCCCATGAACTCGGTGCTTTGCACTCCTGAAGAACCCCTGCAGACCAGGACAAGTCCACAAAGGGAAGATCGAGCTCGCTTCACAGAAGAGGAAACGGGGACAGGGAGAGGCTTGGGAAATGTGAACTCAGAACTCTCTCCAAGGGCCTTCAAAGTCACGTGTCGCCACCAGAGTCCCTTCTGGGATTTGCGTTTGGGTTTATTTGGTTTTATTTGTTTGTTTGCTTTGTAGTGTAGGGGTTGCTTGGTTTTGTTTGTTGACAATGCTGGATATGAAGCCTCACACACACTTGAAAATGTTCTACCATGAAGTTACCTCCCTAGCCCTCTTTTCACCTGCTGTGTGCTGTGTGTGCACATGTGCACACATGAGGCTCCCATGGGAAGGGTGCATGCACACACCTGTCTGCAGGTAAACACATCCGTATTTGTGGACATCAGAGATGTCCAGAGTCCTGCTCCATCACTCTCCCCCTTATTACTCTGAAATGGGGTCTCCCTGAATCTAGAGTGAGGCTGGCAGCCAGCAAGCCCCAGCAATCCTCCTGTCTCTACTACTGGGGTTACAGGTGTGTGTGGGAATTGCCTGGCCTTTGTACATCAGCATCCCCCACCTGGTTTGTTTGATTGTTTTGGTTTTTCAAGACAGTGTTTTTCTGTTTAACTCTGTCCTGGAAGTCACACTGTAAACCAGGCTGCCTCAAACTCAGAGATCCACCTGCCTCTGCCTCCCGAGGGCTGGGATTAAAGGTGCGCTCCACCATTGGCTGGCTGTCCTCCATCTGTTTAATGGTGGTCTTAATGTAGACTCACTTCAGGGGCTGCTGTGGGAGCAACGTCAGATGTTTGTGAAAGGCTTCAAGCCGTTCTCGACGCTAAGCAAGCCTTAGCTTTAGGTAACTTCAACAGATTGTGATTGGTTATTCACAGTTCTCAAGTCTTCGGCTCCAGCTGTGTGCTGGGATGGTGTAGCACGTGCCGTGGTGCAGGCCCATAAATCCCAGCACTCAGAAGGCTGAAGCACGAGGACAGCACGTTCAAGGCCAGTCTTGAACAAAATGATGGGACATCAAGATAAAGAGTACGGCGCTTGCCACCAAGCCTGACCACCCGGGTTTGGTCCCCACACCATAGGAAAGAACCTTTGACCTCCAAATATGCACCACGTCACACGTGCCCAGAAAAATGCACAAGAATAATAAACAGAATACGCTTTGTAAATAGAGAGAAAATACACCGGCCCTTTTATAAGCAGCCTGTTGGGAGGGGTGGAGCATGGTGTCCGTTCCTCAGAGGAAGAAACTGAGACCAGAGCGGAAGTTGCTCATTCAGCTCTGCTGGCCAATGTAGTGGCAAAGTCAGCCCCAGCTGGCGCGGTTGCTGACTGATGGTAGGAAAACAGCGGCTGTGTTCAGAAAGATATCTGCTCCCCAGACCCTGCCCAGCATCCCTGTTCCCAGCAATGACAAGCACCTCAGTCACCTAGGTGGGGTCACCTGTCATCCAGAGAAGACTCTAGAGAGAAAGTGAGTTGACTCTTGTGATGTCATTCAAAACTGGCTCCATCCCAGTCCCACATTTTTGCTGTGCACCCAAATTAGTGCTTTTCCCTCTCTGAGGCTCCAAGGTATCTTTTTCGATTTTTCTTTTTTTAAACAGGGTCTTACCATATAGCCCTGCTGGCCTATAACTCGCTCCGTAGACCAGGCTGGCCTCAAACTCAGAGACCCACCTGCCTCTGCCTCCCAAGTGCTGGGATTAA